CAAAATAGTCAAATGGCTTAGTCATGTTTTCATTATGACACTTTACTCTACATTTTTTCAATGCAAAAAAAAGTCTGATTTTGGTGACACTTGCAGAAAATGCTCAAGACAGCACTGTATACTATTTGCACAGCCATTTGAAAACTACAGTAAAGTTGGACATCACTGCATTTAGTAAGGTATCTGAGTACAAGACACTGAATATGTATGTTTCACATTTTTACTGCACATGCTCTTTACAATCCGAATTTATTCCCGGCATTGTGCAAAAGAATAAACACACCCATATTTACAACAAACATAAACACCCTTTGGGTAGAGCTGGGCACAACTGTAAACAATATTGCAGTACATATTGGAACTGAACCTACAACATAAACAGGTCTGTAAATCATTCATCAAATTGTTCAATTTTAAAGACATTTTCAGGAAAATAAAGATTAAATTTTATAAAGTTTGCTTGACCGATTTTGACATCAAGTTCAACATTTTTTTATGTAATGACTCAAGTGATGAAACGAGGACTATTAGTTTTATATTGAATGACTATTCAGCATTTACAAGTTTAGTTCATTTTGACTGACATGACATAAGCAAATTAATGTTCTAAACAGCAGAGAGTTGTATGAAAGCAATTGATGCATGTCCAAAAGTATCTGCAATTTGTTGAAAGGAATGAGAAACTGCTACTAGGATGTGCACAAATCACTAATTGTTTTGAGAAATGCATGACCTGTTGTGCAAATGTAAATAGTCTAGAGAGAAATGCACCAAAGCGACTGAGAAAAACTGTAAGCTTGTTTTAATTACAAAAAACTCAATTTTGACCTGATTTTTTTTTGACAAAAAAAATAATTTTTTATTTGTCTGGAACAGTGGTTCACAAAGTGGGGGTCAGGACCTCCCAGGAGTCATGGGACAATGAGATGGGGTCGCTTGGCGATTTCCAAAAATCTAATTAATTTCATTAAACAATTAGAATTATGGGGCAGCACAGTGGCGCAGTGGGTAGCACAATCACCCCACAGCAAGAAGGTCACTGGTTCGAGCCCTGGCTGGGTCAGTTGGCATTTCTGTGTGGAGTTTGCATGTTCCCGTGTTTGTGTGGGTTTCCTCCAAGTCCTCTGGTTTCCCACACAGTCCAAAGACATGTGGTGTAGGTTAATTGGGCAGGCTAAATTGTCCGTAGTGTATGAGTGTGTATGGATATTTTCCAGTGATGGGTTGCAGCTGTGTAAAACATATGCTGGATAAGTTGGTGGTTCATTCCACTGTGGCGACCCCAGATTAATTAAGGGACTAAGCCAAAAAGAAAATTAATGAATAATAATAAACATAAAAAAACAACAACATGCAAATAAAATCCATCAGCTTTTTTTTGCAACCCCTGGAGTGATTACGTTAAATTAAAAAGACAGCAACAGCATCAGATGCAGCAGATTGATTTTATGGCACCAGGGTAAACTTTGACACCTTTAAGGTGCTCGCGTACGTTAACAATACATACAGAAAATAAATTTATAAATAGACTTGGGCCTTTTGGTACTATGTGTGTGCCGTGGTGTGCTAGGTTTATACACTACCTGACAAAAGTCTTGTCGTCGATCCCAGTTGTACGAGCAACAAATAATATCTTGTCTTCTAGTCGATCACATGGAAAAGTGGCAGAAGGTCGGTTATTATGATGAATCATCTGTTGAGCTGCATCCCAATCATCACAAATACTGCTGAAGAGCTATTGGAACCCCCATGGACCCAAGATTCTCACAAAAATCAGTCAAGTTTGATAAATAAAAATCATGGTTTGGGGTTACATTCAGTATGGGTGCGTGCGAGACCTGCAGAGTGGATGGCAACTTCAACAGCCTGAGGTATCAAGACATTTGTGCTGCCCATTACATTACAAACCACAGGAGAGGACAAATTCTTCAGAAGGCTAGCACTCCTTCTCCAGGTGCTCCAGGATTGGCCAGCCCAGTCACCAGACATAAACATTATTGAGTGTGTCTGGGGTAAGATGGAGAAGGCATTGAAGATGAATCCAAAGGATCTTGATGAACTCTGGGAGTCCTGCAATAATGCATTTTGAGTCATTGCAAGGATGTATGGATGCCGTCCTCCAAGTTCTTGGGAGTTATACTCAACATTATTTTCCCACTTCACCATGACTTTATATTCTATACTGTACATTATTTCTGTTATGTGACAAGACGTTTGTGTAAGCAAAGTCAGACCTTTCTGTCCTTATTAAATCATTAAAAATCAAAGCATGATCATACTTTATTTTGGTAAAATAAAAGGTAGTGTATATTTATAACCACCTCTGAGAATATTTGGGGTCACGAGTCACTGGCATTGTTACTTTGGGGGTTGCGGGCTAGAACATGGCTGCCCAGCCTTTTTCGTATGAAGGGCCAAAAACCAAATATCACTGATAGCCAAAGGTAAATATAGCAAACTAAAGAAAAAACTGTACAAAAGCACGAACACATCTCTCTTAATTGGGTGCTCAACCAAAACCGCAAAAAATGCAAATTAAATGTAAATCAAAGGCGGCAACACAAAGGCTCCAAAAATATTTTTTTTTATTAAATTAAAAAGGCTGACACAGAGCGCTCTGTGTCAGTCTTTTTAATTTAATAAAATTTGTATTTTTGGAGCCTTGGTGTTTCCGCCTTTGATTTACATTAAATATAGCAAACTATACATTAAAGTTGCCATGCATGGGTAATTTCCTCATTTATTTCATAATATTACAAAATAAATAGAAAACATTACTTTGAATTGTAACTTATGCAGTTTGACTTTTAACTTTATAACTTAATGCAATAAAAACATAAACAATCACATTTATAGCACAGTGAAGCCCAATGCTGAATACACTGGTCAAACAGAATCTGCCTTTGACTTGATTTGCTCAACAAAGTCTCTACATTGTCAGGTGACAGTATGTACACTACCTGACAAATGTCTTGTTGCTTATCCAAGTTTTAGAAACAACAAATAATAACTTGACATCTAGTTGATCATTTGGTATCAGAAGTGGTTTATATGAAAGGCAAAGGCCTCTAGATTACGTTTATTTTACCAAAATATAATATGATCATGCCTTGATTTCTATTTATTTAAATAGGACAGTAAGGTCTGTTTTTGCTTAGACAAAAGTCTTGTCACTTAACAGAAATGTTGTACAGTATAAAATAATTAAGTCATGGTGCAGTGGAAAAAGAATTAATATTGTTTATGACCCCCATAAGCTTGGACGACTGTATCTGCAATGACAACTTATAAATCAAGTCATCTGGAATGGCAAAGAAAGAGTTTTTGCAGGACTCCCGATTATCAAGATTCTTTGGATTCATCAATGCCTCCTCCTTCTCCCATCTTACTCTAGACATGCTCAATAATATTCATGTCTGGTAATTGGATTGGCCAATCCTGGAGCAATTTTACCTTCTTTGCTTTTAGGAACTTTGATGTGGAGGAAGAAGTATGAGAAGGAGCGCTATCCTGCTGAAGAATTTCCCCTCTCCTGTGGTTTGTAATGTAATGGGCAGCACAAATGTCTTGATACCTCAGGCTGTTGATGTTGCCATCCACTCTGCAGATCTCTCGCACGCCCACCACACTGAATGTAACCCCAAACCATGATTTTTCTTTAACCAAACTTGACTGATTTCTATAAGAATCTCAGGTATATGCAGGTTCCAGTAGGTCTTCTGCAGTATTAGTGATGATTGGGATGCAGTTCAACAAATGATTCATCAGAAAAATTTACCTTCTGCCACTTTTCCAAATGATCAACTGGAAGTCAAGTTATTATTTGTTGCTCTTACAACTGATATCAACGACAAGACGTTTGTCAGGTAATGTCCATTAAAACATTTAAAAAATCTATTTATGTCATTTAATTAAAACATTTCAGCTTTTAACAATAAAACAAACAAAATAATAAATTAAAATTGAATTGACAATACCATCCTCATGGGCGAGGCAGTGGCGCAGTAGGTAGTGCTGTTGCCTCACAGCAAGAAGGATGCTGGGTCGCTGGTTCGAACCTCGGCTCAGTTGCCATTTCTGTGTGGAGTTTGCATGTTCTCCCTGCCTTAGTGTGGGTTTTCTCCGGGTGCTCCGGTTTCCCCCACAATCCAAAGACATGCGGTACAGGAGAATTGGGTAGGCTAAATTGTCCTTAGTGTGTGGATGTTTCCCAGAGATGGGTTGTGGCTAGAAGGGCATGCGCTGCGTAAAAAACTAGCTGGATAAGTTGGTTGTTCATTCCGCTGTGGTGACCCCGGATTAATAAAGGGACTAAGCTGACAAGAAAATGAGTGAATAACATCCTCTCTTCTTAGATGGGATGGTGGGCCAAATCAAAGGTTACCATGGGCCAACTTTGTCCCACAGACCCTAGTTTGGGCATCACTGGTCTGGAAAATGTATCTTGATTTAAGACATTTTAGATATTCATTCATTTTCCTTCGGCTTAGTCCCTTTATCCATCAGGGGTCGCCACAGCGAAATGAATCGCTAACATATCCAGCATGTTTTACACAGCTGATGCCATTCCAGCTGCAACACAGTACTGGGAAACATTCACACTATCTAATTCACACACATAATACTACAGACATTTTAGTTTATTTAATTCTCCTATAGCGCATGTCTTTGGACTGTGGGGGAAACCGGAGCACCCGGACTCCACACAGAAAATGTCAACTGACCTAGCCGGGACTCGAACCAGTGACCTTCTTGCTGTAAGGCAACAGCACTAACTACTGAGTCACCATGTAACCCACTTTTTAGATATTTGAACTTAAAATAATATAACATTGTAGAAAAAGCCTTTTGTTTCCGCATTTGGTAAGTTTTCTAATACTTCAAATAAGACAATGACTGATATCTGATGAATCAAACCGATGCTCAAAGTCTGACGTTATGATTGTGTTTCAACATTTTTATGCCTCCTTTTTGTCGCAGATAGAAAACCACACGATGTCTGACGGATTTTAAAGTCTTTTATTAACATACATAAGCACATAGCATGTCACAAAAGATCTTGTGCTTGTTTCAAAAACAGCATGTGAGGAGCGGACGGAAAAAAAGGAAGAGATAGAAAAAAAATTATAAAAAAAAACAGAGAGAGAACTTTCAGGAGTTGCTAAGCCTTGCTTCAGGGGCAAAGAAGAAATTACTGTAGTAGAACAGTAGTAATAGTAATAATAGTAGTGGTAGTAGTAGTAGTCTCCTATAGTAGTTTGAGGGAGAAAGAGAATAATAATTACTACTAAGGAGGTGAACAGGAATACATGGAGGTCATTCCAAAAGGATCTACGTTACTGTTAAAGATGCGGGTTACTTCCGGTTAGCTTTCATACCGAGCAACCTTGTTTTCTCTCTCCCCAAAGAATCTCAATCTAAACGAATGCCAATCCCGGAGCTTAGAATCAATACATGTTAGTAAATGCAGTACATTTGACATAAGAGCTATTTACAGAAACAAAAATACTATTGGTTTAGTCTTATTGCTCGCTTTTTCACTCAAAAGAGATTTGTAAAAGCAATATGTGACGATACTGCTTTTCAACATGACTAAAACTAAGGAAGACGGTGGTCAATCAAGGAGTGGGGCAGTGGGTGGTGGTGATAACTTAGCTGTTGATGGTGTGGGCTGGTACAACAAAAGATTACAGGTTGAGTCAGTGAGATACGCTCTCACCATTCTGCCCTTCAGCAAGGCTGTGTTTCCCTGCAGTTGTCTTTGTGTAAAAGTCGGATACAAATCCCAATTTCATTTTTATTTTAGGTTCATAAAAACATCTTACAAATGTGCTAGATTCACATCACTTTGAAGAAAGACCTGGGTTATGTAATTTTAACCTACAACAAAACAATAAAAGGATTATATCAATGTTTTTTTTTGTTTTTATTTAAATAATAAGGGTTACCTTGGCTTGTAATGTGTGACTAATTTAAAAGGTTGACGATAAATTGTGGTCAAAACTATACTTTATGCAAGTACATCAATCCAAAAGCTTCTCTTTTGTAGCTTGCTAAAATGTGTTAGAAAAATGCAATTCGTAACACTTCGCCGCCACCAGGGGCGCTATAGCTAGCGTTAGCATAACTGACTTCGCTAGGACAAAAAACGACCACAGACTACTGTCGATATGGAGAGACAGTTTGGTATGCGAGTGAAGCTGTAGAATTTGAGCCCCATATCGTGAATGCGACAGACCAGAAACGCAGATTTCGCAGTTCGCTGCATTGGAAAGTTCAAGCTTTGTGAAGTCTGACCTACGAAATCGCATCACGTTACCAATCGAAGATCAAAACATGACGTCTCTGTGCAGAAATTTAAAATATGGACCAATTGCTTGCTTGTTTAGTGTCTAATCATCTTGTTTAATCCCGCACCGTTTCGCAAAGCCATACAGCAGAATTTCGCATGCTTAACCTCTAGTGTGACAGCAGAATTAGCTAAACTGCCAGCATATTTATAGCTTTGCTACTTGAATAATAGCAATTCGACTGTAATTATTCCTCTTAAAGAGATGGCTCACTTAAAAATATCAACCGGGCCATTTACTCACGCTTCACATGATTTTCCAAAATGTGGTTGACTGATCTTCGGCTAAACATGCTAGTAACAAATGGCCCCAATATACTTAATGACAATGCAATAAACGGCTTTTGGGCTGCATTTACTCTGCAGATTTTTTACATTTATTTTTTAGAGGGTTTTCTTCTTTATTTTATAGGACATTAGAGAATTGACAGGAAAGCATAGGGAGCAGGGATAGGGGAATGATTGGCATAGGGCCACGAGCACCGGAGTGTGTTGACGCACTAACCACTACACCACTGGCGCCAACTTTGCAAATTTTGATGGTCAATTTCGTTTTTGTGACTGTAGCCGTTTACATCATCTTTTAAAAGTGATTAGTATCCAATTGTCTGCAATTACACAGCACACTGCAAAAGTGCAATGAGCAGATGATAATAAAAGAGCGCCATTTTCTCCGTTCCTGTATTTAATCTGTTTCTAGGGTTTTGATTTTTAAAATTCTTCTTGACACGTTGTTTTACTATAGTTTATGACAGAAACGGTCTTATTTGGCCATCTTTTTTAAATCTAGCCCTTTTCCAGTAGGCATCTTAATATAATGTCCCTGGCTTGATTTATGCATGTGATGTATGGAATAGTTTTATATCCGTTTATATTACTTACATTGTGAACATTGTGCTCTCTTGTTAACATGCTTAAATCCTTGTACTACATAGCAATATAAGAGCTTTTTTAGTCCTTGTGTATGAGATTTAAGATTTGCAACTCTGCTGAAGTCTGTTCTGAAATGAAAGCGTCAGACTTGACGTCATTCGCTACGGTTTTTAATGACGCGTGACTCGAATTGACAGATGAAAATTCGATCTACTTGCTTACAGTGCAGACACAAGGGCACACATCCTATTTATTTCGCATACATTTTCACATATGAACAAGGCCTGAATCTGATTTGAGTAAATCAGAATCCATGTGACCTTTTCCTGTTAACATGTACATGAGGCATATTCATTCTGTGCCACATGGGGAAAAAATAAACGGAATTGAGTCACTTGAACCATGCAGTGTAAATAAAGCCTAAACGCAGCCTTGGAGGCTTGAGACGCTCTAAACAGTTCTGGGAGGTCATAATACTGAACCACTGTGATGACAGACTTTGGCTGAGGGATTTTAGAAAGAAAACAACATTTCTGATTTTCTACAATGCGCTCAGTCTGCTGGTTTGTCCGTAAATGCACGCATATAATCACATGATCTGTTAAAACAAAATCACGACTTCTTGAAGCGCATGCTAGAGTTTCTTCAATTAAATGTGTTTCGATTTTAGATTCTGCACAATTTTTCATATAGAATTAAAAGTAAAATAATAATGCGCAGGTTGGTGGAAACATAGCTAATGTTGCTTTGATCTCGACCGAACAGATGAAATGACCCAGAAAAGATTTCCATGTTAAAGAAGGTGGGGCAACAGGGCCACACCTACCTATTGTATCACCATGAGCCAATTGTTGTTTTTTCCAAAGCTAATGCTTTGCATTTTGAAACAAATGTTCAAACTAACTTGAAGTAGCTTGAAGTATATTGGGGGTTTTAAAGTTATCATAAAATCTAAATATACTCTTCGTATTTTTATAAGTATACATTAGTGCTTGTTTTAAGCAATGTATCCGTGCACTTCGTTATTTTGTAAAAATTTATTTACCCTCATAAAGTTTAATCAAACTCCAAAACCTTCCCTCCCTCTCGAAACCGTTTAGGGCGGGGCTCGCTTCTCCTCTGAATCTGTCCATTTGCCAGTCTTCCTTCATTTTGTTAGCAACACCCGTCTTTCAACAATCCAATCAGTTCCCAAAGAACAAAATTAAGTGCTGCCCTACATTTTTTTTTAAAATTTCAAGTCCATGTCAAATGGATGTACGTCACGATAGCAAAAAAAGGACAATCTTAAAATCCATTTCGTGGCGACTTTAAAGTTCTGGTTAGCCCTTTTTCAATTAATATTAAAGTATTCACTGTCCTACAGGATAAGTCATGGAGGTGAGTAAATGACGACCAAATGTGCATTTATTTTGTGAACCAACTCTTTAAGTTAGCTGCATGCTGCTTGCAGAAATGCATTAATGCTTGTGTACTTACATAGAGTATAATTCTATGATTCCTTTCTGAAAATAAGGGACACTATTTTCCCGTTTTTCTTTAAACTAGATGTATACACATACAGTGCATGCACACACACGCACACACACACACACTACCAAACATATAACTAAAACAAATCCCAATAGAGCCCACTACGACTGTTATTGCCTAAGTTTCCCAACAAATCAAAGCTCTATTGCAGCTGCTCCAAAAGAAACGTCAGTTTCAGCCATTGTTTATACACACAGACTCATATGTAGTCAAAATATACATATGCCACCTGGCGCTAAAGTCCTAAAAGGCCGTTACACCGACTCCAAATAATTGGCACAACACAAAATTGTTTCGCAATCACAAATAAACCCCCGTCGTTTTCAGTTTGCTAAATACAAGCGACTCAACTGAAGCTAAGATCGAGTTCTGACATGCCTTTGCTTCGACCGATTGAGTCACTAAAGCAAAAGCCCCTGTGGGCGAAAACACTCATGTTGGTTCAACTAAACTACTAAGATTGTGGAGGATTGAAGCTCAGTGTTGATTAAGAAGAAACTCAAAACAGTACGGTCTAATCTGCTACAACACACACCTGTTAGGCACAGGGATCGATACGACACAGGTGAGCGCTAGAGACGCACTGTGCTATACTCTGCATAGCAAAAAAAAAAAAGAAAAAGAAAAAGAAAGAAAGATAGAAATAAATAATCAACACATTCACACACACACATACAGGAACCGAGAGCGCTCATACCCACTGGCATCTTTAACAATAAACCCAGTCCTTTTCTTCTGTGGCTAACGTAGTTGTTGTTTGTTTGTTTTTTCTCTAAAACATTTTGATGCAAGACTTCTGTAACTGTTGTGAGATCAGTTTTCGTCGCTTCTGTTTCTCCTAATCATCATCTTCCATCACAGGGTCTGTATCCCAGCACGTAATGTCGATTTCTGCAGGAAGACAATAAGACAAAAATCATATATTATAATTTTTTTCTAAGGTGATGTAACGTGAAGAAAGTATTTTCTGTTTTACTTTTGTGTTTTTTAAATGAGCACATACACCTACAAGTAAAAACAGTCTTTTTGTTTTTTGTTAAAGTTTTGTTTTTTTGGATTTGTGTTATTATTTTCTTACATGTCTATACCATTTCTGTTTCTGTTTTAGTTATTTTAGCACATCAACTTTGAAAAAAAAAATTAACAGTTGTCAGCTAGTTTAAATAAAATACTTTTTTTGAAGTACCAAAAAGATATTTATGATTTTACTTTTGGTCAAGCTCCAAAATTGTCATCTCATGGCCGAATTATAAAGGAATTAAACTTTCTTTCTTTCTTTCTTTCTTTCTTTATTTCTTTCTTTCTTTCTTTCTTTCTTTCTTTCTTTCTTTCTTTCTTTCTTTATTTCTTTCTTTCTTTCTTTCTTTCTTTCTTTCTTTCTTTCTTTCTTTCTATTTTAAGTAACTGTTAGTCTTGAGAAATGACAAAAAGTCTTGTCACCTTTCCAAGTTAATTTATTCATTCATTTTCTTGTTGGCTTAGTCCCTTTATTTATCAGGGGTGGCCACAGCGGAATGAACCGCCAACTTATCCAGCAAGTATTTACGCAGCGAATGCCCTTCCAGCCGCAACCCATCTCTGGTAAAGCCTTTCCAAGTTTTAGGAACAAAACAATAACTTGACTTCTAGTTTATCATTTGGTATCAGAAATGGCTTATATGAAAGGCAAAGGTCCCCATGACTCCCATGAGCTTGGATGACTGCATTCATACATCTCTGCAATGACTCAAATTACTTATTAATAAAGTCATCTGGAATGGCAAAGAAAGCGTTCTTGCAGGACTCCCAGAGTTCATCAAGATTTTTTGGATTCATCTTCGATGCCTCCTCATTCATCTTACCCCAGACACACTTAATAATGTTCATGTCTGGTGATTGGACTGGCCAATTGTGTTCCAAAGAAGAATGAAATGCATAAAACACAATAAGAGCTAAAAATAAATAAATAAATAAATCCTTTAAACTATTAATAACAAAATTGGGGCTTTGTTGATTAAATGTATATTATATTATAGTATATATATATATGTATGTATACGTTTTGCTATGTTATTTCAATTTCCAATATATTTTAATTTGACTTTTTGTTTCATTTAGTTTTCCATGTTAGTGTTATTCATTTCCAGTTAACAATTTTTGTGCTTGATCTTATTACACTAAATAGCCAAGTCAACTATACAACTTTTTGTTTAGATTTTTCTTTTTTACATTTTACTTCGCTTTAAATACTCCAGAGATAAACTTGTGTCTGTTCCCACAGCACACATTCTAGAGGTAAATCAGTTCGACACATCACAACAGAAATGACAAATAGGGTGTTTATAGCAGAATGACTCCCATACAGTGTAGCTAATCTAAACAATACATGCATTCTGTTGGTAAAAAAGGACATCTACTGCACTACATGTCAATGTTAAACTTAAAAGATAGTGTAGCTGGAACACTTTGAATAGCTTCATACACATATAAAATGATGCCTTCACAAAATGTTCTCATCATAAAAGTTAACTAAAACAAAAAGCCTAATTTAAAAAACCCTAAATACTTAAGCATTGCTTTTATTGCAGACACTTGATAAGGCAATGTTTGTCATTTTGATGTCATTTAAATTCAAGTAGAGCACTATAAAATAATACAAAATTAAATATAAACAAACAATTAGGAATACAATTAAAACAAATAAGTTAAAATGTTAAGTAAAATTAACGAAAACTGCAATATTGGCTCAATGACCCATTAATTTGCCTTTAATTTTCAATGGAATTTATTTAAATTATACTAAAATAGCCCCTTTTTGGTTAATTTAGATCAAATTAAAATTTTGAATACAATTAACGAAAGAGAAAATATTATTCAACTTAATTTTAAAAATGAAAACTGCAATATTGGCTCAATGACACTAAAGATGTCCATTAATTCACATTTAATTTCCAATTGAATTCGTCTAAAATATCCTAAAATAGCCCTTTATTTGGTTCGATATCAATTAAATCTAAATTTAAAATTCAAACTTTAAATACAATTACCCAAAATAACAAAAAATTGAACAAAAACTCAAGTTTTAAAATAAATATTGCAATAGTAGCTCAATGAGACTAAAGAAGGTCTTTAATTCAACTTTATTCGAATATAATTCGAATTATAATTCACCCTTAATCGAATTTAACTAAAATGTCCTAAAAATAGCCCTTTATTTGGTTCTATTTAAATTCCCAATTTAAATTCAATTTAAATTTTAAATCCAAACTTTAAATAAAATTAACTAAAAATATGAAAATATAACAAAAACTATTTTTTAAATAAAAACTGAGTACTGTGAACAAACTATTTGAGTAAACGAAGCAATCTGAGCACAGTAAAACCCAATAAATAAAGAGAACTCAAACCAACTGAGTACTGTAAAAACCAATAATGTAAGGCAACTCAAACCATTTGAGGAAACCGATTGCAACAAACCATTTTAGTTAAAAAACTAATCTATGTGAGTACTGTGAACTTACTCCATTTAAGTTGAAGTAATGAGGTATTCAATTAACTCATACCGTCAACACAGAGTTCAAAACTCTTCAAATGAGTAGACTTAACTTTCAGTAAATTTTGAGTTCATTTCATTTGATAAAGTTGACTGTTGGGTTTTACAGTGCACTAAAGAATCCTTTTAATTTACCTTTAATTTTTAATGGAATGCAATATAAATTAAATTATACATAGAAATTTTGGTCCCACTTTATATTAATTGTCCTTAACTACTATGTACTTACATCAAAAAATAAATACAATGTACTTACTGTGTTTATAATGTATTTGAGAACACTTGTGGTGCTCGTGAGTTGGTATAGGGGTTGGGTTAGGGACAGGTTTGGTGGTATGGGTAGGTTTAAGGGTGGGTTAAGGTGTAGGGAATGGTCAGCAGTGTATTTACAAATGTAATTACAGAAGTTAATTACAGATGTAATTAAATACAGGTATTTAATCAAGCATAAGTACACAGTAAATACATGTATTTACTCAACAAGTACATTGTAACAAACTATTAGTTCCTTTGTAAGTACATATTAGTTAAGGCCACTTAATATAAAGTGGGACCGAAATTTTTTATTTGCTTAAATTTAACTTAATGTTTAAAATGAAACATCAAAACAAGAGCAAATATTGTGTTTCTGAAACCATTTCTTATGCTTTAACCTGCTGGGATCTCACCTGGCGGTTTGTTGTAAAAAACTGGTGTAGGGTTAACTTTTGCAGTGCAGTCATCTGACTGGACAAAATCCTCCTCCTGTGATTGGCTGAAGTAGCCTTCACTCGCCTACATGGACACAAACGTATACAATGATTATGTGTGAAGCTCCATGCAAGAGTAGTATTTGTGCATCTGCAATTGCATTGTACATACTGCCATCTAGTGGTACTTTGATGCTTCAAAACAGTCTAACATTCACAAGTGCTTTCTGTTTATTATATGGCTGTGAATAGCATTATGGGACCTTGATCTCTGCTCTGTCAACTTTTGATGTTGAAAATTCGACTATACGGTTTATCAAAGTGACTTTTGTTGACATTTTAATAGTTTGTAATAATATAATTGAGAAATGTGTCTGTAAAATAAAAGAAAATGTACTGGTGGTTAATTCCAAGGTTTTTGGAGTTAAATATACAATGCCAACCTGGACAATGTATCACTTTAACCCTCTAAAGCAGGGGTTCCCAAACTTTTCAGCCCTCGACCCCCAAAATAACAATGCCAGTGACTTGTGACCCCCATTTTCAAGGTGGTTATACTGTAAATATATAAATGTTGCAGACACAACTATAGGCATATATAAACATGAGCATATTAACAACACAAAAATGCAAGTCTATTAACCATATAATGTTTTTTATGGTCATTTATTAATTAATTACATTTTAACTTAATCATTTAAGACTGATAGCTTTTTATTATATGCTGTTGTTTCTTTAACGCAATGATTAACTATTTTCTGTGGGTTATAAATAAAGTATGGTTATTCAAATAGTTTAATAAAACTTATTTGAGTTTTGGAAATCACCAAGCACTCGTTGTCACTGTCCCGCGACCCCCACTTTGAGAAACTCGGCTCTACAGCACAGTGTTGCCCTCAGGCAACAGAAAGTTTTCTTAAGGCTCGTGCTAAGCACAGATTTCTTAGAATAATTGCAACCAATTAAAATATTAGAAAAAGTATCAATAAAACATCCAATAAGGTTTAGGACAGACTATCTAGCACCGTTTAAAGGTGGAACTTCATTTTCTGACTCATGGTGACATGGTATGAGAAGAAGTTAAAATTATTTTCTTAATTAACCTCATTTAAAATAGCATAAACTGTACAAAAATATGTGCATTTGTGAAGATGTAGAGAAGCCAGGTTTTATGAAGTTTTTTTTATTTTACATGTTCAGAAATTAAATTTTTCTTTTCATTGCCTCAGAGCCACATTGCGCGATAAGTGGTACTTTTCACGATGTGTTCACTGACATTACTTGTGGCCATTTTCACATATTATCATTATTACATATTGCATTATTTTTCATTTAATTTGACAGAAAAATGGATGTGAGCTTGTTTTATGGAAGGATCCCAGAGTTAGGCAAATCCCATCTGAGGACAGTGAGATAGACTGCAGTGACAGTGAGGAGAACAAGATTCGAGTAGAAGTGTAAAAGATATCTTCAGAAGTTCAAAAAGTAGCCCTGACTACCATTTATAAGTGATCAGTTTACACAGCAGGCGGCACACAAAATAGGGGTCAGATATATAGACCAGTAACAAACCACTATATACAGTGCTCAGCATATATAGGTACACCCCTCACAAATCTCTCATTTAAATTAATATTAGATCTACTGTAGGGCTAATCTACAAAATAATGTATGATAATGGTCCAAACTTAGTACACATAAATTGATATGTTAGAGAAAAATATTGAACAAAAAATATCAAAGAGCAAAATTCAACAGAAAAAAAAAAAAAAAAAAAAAAAAAAAAAATATATATATATATATATATATATATATATATATATATATATATATATATATATATATATATAAACTTTAGTTGAAATATTGTAGTTTTTATTTTCTTCCCATAATTTTGCATTGATTTAAATGTATTATCTTCAATTTCTGAAGATGTTTGGTTAATAAAATATCATTTTAATAAGTATTACAGTTTAATCAGTGTCCTGGCCAAAGTCCTTCTATCAGCCCTTACAATCCTGGCCTCCCAATCATCCCCTTCCACCAAACTGGCCATATCACTGTCTCTCCAATCCACCAATAGCTGGTGTGTGGTGAGCGCACTGGTGCCGTTGTCCTGTGGCTGCCATCACATCATCAAGTGGATGTTGCACTCTGGTGGTGGTGTGGAGAAATCCCCCCCCCCCCCCCCCCCCATGATTGTGAAGCGCTTTGGGTGTATGGCCATACACAATAAATGCGCTATACAAATACACATTACATTACATTTAATACATCTGTTTTGTTCAAATGCACCAAAATATATTACCTATATTCACTAATAAATGGATAAAAATGTTCATTTGCAAAATAGGGTGTATTCAGTTATGCTGAGCACTGTACTGTATATGTTTTTTGTGTTCTTCCCTATTTCCTTAATGATTCCTTTACAATTTGAATAAGATTTGTAAATTATTATTGCTCTCTGATCACTGACTCATGATATTTCATATATAATATGTGAAGAATATTCTCTGTGATTTTGTACCATAGTTGCATTACGTTGCCTTAAGGTAGAGATCTGCACGGGACTCATTTTTGCTCCAACCGCTCCCAACAGGTTTTATTCCGAACCCAACCGCTACCAATTATGTTCAGCAATTGTTGTCCGGCTGCCCGACCCGACCCGTTTTCTATCCCCCGCGGATACAGATAGCATCATGCTCTCTCTCATTCACACACACACACTGCACCAAGCTCTTTCTCTCTTTCACACACACAGACAGCAACAAACAAGCTAAACGCAGCTTCATGCTCTCTCATTCACACACATACATACGCGTGCTCGCTCGTTCAGGAGTTGGGAGCGTTATTGTTAGACCGCCTGCTCCTGTTCAAAATATACCAGTTACCGACTGCTCCCATGCTTTATTCGGAAATTTATTTCCGCGCTGCAAGAAATCTGGTTGGGTCCCGCAGGGTTGGGGGAGGTTTTGGGGGGGGGGGGTATATATGGGGTTGGGGTGAGGGGGTCAAACCAAAAACAACTTTTAACAATAAAATGTTCCCAAAAGAACCAAAAAAAATCACATGGAATCATTTTTGTCATGTTCCATTAAAATATGTGCAATAGAGGGTTAAACTAATATAAATGTTATTAAAAGACACTTTTTGGAACTTTGACAGGTGTTAGAAGAAAGGTCAAGGTCTCATAATGAAAAATTGAAAATTTTCGCTTATTTTTTTTACCAGTGTAGGATACCAAATCATGGGCTAATTTTCATTTTTGGGTGAACCAACCCTTTAACAGTGAAATGCACTGACCTGAGTGCCTTCTTTCAGCAGCGTGTCTCCATTGGTCAGCAGCAGCTGTCCGTCATCCATGTCCTGGCTGTCGGAGCCGGATGCATGCTGGAGGGCTTGCTGGTAGCTGAGGGTCATCTGGTGGGGTCCAGCCACGTCCACAAGGCTGGAGGGGTCGTCTTCTGTCCCTGGGCAGTAGGGGGCGTCGGGCACCTCATCGAAGCTCAGGAGTGGCTGCGCAGGAGAGGAGCCGGCAGGATGAGGCTCCGGGGTATCCTCCATCAGGTCCATAATGTGGGTGGAGGCCTGGGAGAGGGCTATCGCCGGGGCTGGGCCGCTGTCCCACAGGTCTAGCAGGCTCTCGTCTGTGCTGGGTAACGGAGCGACGCTGCTGGGCTGAGGGGAAATGCTTGGAGAGGCCTTGGTGAAGCCGGATTCCTGCACTGGAGTTTGCTTGGGAGAGTCAAAGCCTTGAGGAGGAATGAGGGAAATGTAAGAAACTATATCAATTCTGTCTAAGAGCAGCACTTTACTACATACTGCTTAAAGAGCTTTTACAATCCTCTCAAGAGAAATCTCCTCATTCACTGCCAGTGTACAGCAGCATTCATCTGGATGATGCAACAGCAGGCACAGGTCAATGTGCCAGTACACTCAGGTGGAGAGGAGAGAGGGATAGAGCCAATTCAGGACTGAAGAGAGAATATGGCTAGGACACTCTTTATAGTGACCAAAGTTACGTCTCATTTGTAGGTACTTTAAAATTATACTGCTTAATATGATTAGGCTGCTGAAAAATTCAGCTTAAACCAGCCTAGGCTGGTTGGCTGGTTTTAGCTGGTCAACCAGGCTGGTTTTAGAGGGGTTTTGGCCACTTCCAGGCTGGTTTCCAGCCATTTCCAGCCTGGTCTTAGCTGGTTTGGCTGGGAGATGACCAGCTAAAACCAGCTTGACCAGCCTTGCAGGCTGGGAGCCCAGCCAAAACCAGCTATGTCCAGCTTAAACCAGGCTGGTCAAGCTGGTTTTAGTTGGATTTAGCTCGTCATTTTCCAGCCTGACCAGCTAAGACCAGGCTGGAAATGGCTGGAAACCAGCCTGGAAGTGGCCAAAACCCCTCTAAAACCAGCCTGGTCGACCAGCTAAAACCAGCCAACCAGCCTAGGCTGGTTTAAGCTGGATTTTTAGCAGGGTAGGCTGCATTACACCCCCGGAGCGCAAGGATTACTTTTAAGAAATTGTGATTGTAATTTAAGTGAAGTTTATGTATAAACAAATTTCGAGAGGATAACGTGCTTATGATTGCTAGCAGCTGACCCGCATTATCCAATTCACTATGATCCAATCAGATGACTCCTAAACTACTATAAATCCCCTGGGGTTTATTCCATTGCTATCTTCGTTTTGAAGAGTCCCCCCTTCCTCCCCTACTCCTCCTTCTTAGACGGGTGACACGGTGGCCCAGTGCCTAGCACTGTCGCCTCACAGCAAGAATGTCTCTGGTTCCTGGCTTTACCAAAACTAGCAGACATTTCTGTGCGGAGTTTGCACTTCTCCCCGTGCTCACGTGGGTTTCCCCCGGGTTCCCCGATTTCCTCCCACCGCCTAAAAACATGCAATTAAGTCAATTGAACAATCCAAATTGTCAACATAGACACGCTTCTAGTTAGTAATTAGTTTCAAGAGCATTCACTTGTTACAGCAGGGGAGTTCTCGAGATCTACCTGAGCTCAAACTCCCCTCCCGCTTTGCAACGGGAGGGAGCCCTGGGCTCGAGGATCTCATGAGCTCAGGGCTCTCTCCCGGGACAGCATGCCAAACAAGCTTTATAATTAATCATCAGCTAAGTGTGAACTCTTGAATTGTAAAAAAAAGTTATGATAATACCACTATACACTACCTGACAAAAGTATTGTCACCTATCCAAGTTTTAGGAACAGCAAATAATAACTTGACTTCTAGTTGATTATTCGATATCAGAAGTGGCTTATACTGTATGAAAGGCAAAGGCCTCTAGATTACGCTTATTTTACAAAAATAAAATATGATCTTGCCTTGATTTTTTTATTAGGGCAACAGAAATAATGTACAGTATAGAATATAAAGTCATGGTGCAGTGGAAAAAAATAATTTATTAATATTGTGTATGACTCCAATGAGCTTAGAATACTGCATCCATACATCTCTGTAATGACTCAAATCACTTATTAATGAAGTCATCTAAAATGGCAAAGAAAGCGTTCTTGCAGGACTCCCAGAGTTCATCAAGATTTTTGGATTCATCTTCGAAGCCTCCTCCTTCATCTTATCTTAGACATGCTCAAAAATGTTTAAGTCTGGTGACTGGGCTGGCCTATCTTGGACAATTCTATCACCTTGACCTTCTTCGCGTTCAGAAACTTTGATCACAAAACTCGACTGATTTCTGTTAGATTCTTGGGTCCATGTAGGTTCCAATAGGTCTTTTGCAGTATTTGTGATGATTGGGATGCAGTTCAACAGATGATTAATCAGAAAGATCAACCTTTTTCCACTTTTCCAAATGAACAACTAGAAGTCAAGTTATTATTTGTTCGCTTACAACTGGGATTGATGACAAGACTTTTGTCAGGTAGTGTATATACACCATATTCATTTTGAATTAATTACTTTATTTGTCATACAGCCTGAAATCAAATCACACTTTTAACTTTTCCACAAATAACTTTCATTTTAAATGTTTTTGTAGCCTTTTCCAAAAGGCCTTTTGAAAGCAGGGTGTAATGTGAGTAAAGGTATAGATATTCACAGGGTATGATGGTTTTCACTGTATCCTATATATTTTACTCACATTTAAGGTACATTTGCAAAAAAACTAAACACTAACTTTTGCAAACGCACACAAATATATTATATTAGTAGACTTTGTTTTAGTTTATTGTTGTTAAATTTAGACTGTTATTTAATTATTACTGTATTTCATATCATAAGAATATAATGTGTTTATGTAATTTCACGATTCTGTAACACAGCAGTCAGTAATTAAAAAGTTTAATGAGCTTTCTAACACATTATACAGTTGAATTATTATCCCTCCTTTGAATTTTGTTTTCTTTTTTAAATTATTCCCAAATGATGTTTAACAGAGCAAGGAAATTTCCACAGAATGTCTGATAATATTTTTTCTTCTGGAGAAAACCTTATTTGTTTATTTCGGCTAGAATAAAAGCAGGTTTTAATTAAAAATAAATAAATAAATAAATAAATAAATAAATAAATAAATAAATAAATAAATAAATAAATAAATTTAAGGTCAAAATTATTAGCCCCTTTAAGCTATATTTTTTTGATAGTCTACAGAACAAACCATCGTTATACAATAACTTGCCTAATTAGCCTATCCTGCATAATGACCCTGGTTAAGCCTTTAAATGTTACTTAAAAAAAAACTAGTAAATTATTATGTACTGTCATCATGGCAAAGATAAAATAAATCAGTTATTAAAAATGAGTTTTTAGAACTATTATGTTTAGAAATGTGTTGACAAAATCTTCTAACTTTAAACTGAAATTGGGGAAAAAGTAAACAGGGGGACTAATAATTCAGGGGTCATTATTATTTTAATAATGAGCATGTGTTTTAAAGCATAATACTCTTTAAATGTACATTCAAGGCATTATTCTTGCTTTTTAATTCACTAAAGCACTGTCTAAACACTTGAAAAGGTGTTGTTCAAAGCCTTTGATGCAGAAATAATCTCTCATTTTAAGGGAGCGTTTGTGGTGACATAAAACACATTATTTGTATTTTCTTCCAGTTCTTATTGTGAGCAGTGAACCAAGTTTTTCCTAAGCACAATAATTGCAGTTCAGGTTGGACACACAAGTGCTGAGAAAGTCAGTCAGCTGTGAAGGCAAACACAACCTGGACAAACAAATGAGCCCCAGGCCGCATCACATGGGCCAGTTTTCATGCAGAAGATGATTTCTGGAGAGCAATAACAGCCTCTCATTTGAAAAACATATTAAGCTGATGAAATACTACATTTACATCCCACAGTCCTGCATTAGTTATGGTATTTCCTACTATTTCCTGGAGGACACATTGGTGGGATTTTATGTTATGGCATTTTAAAAATACTGCTTTTCCGTGGTAGTGCAAAGCAGTGTAAGTTATTGCAATTGAATTAAAATGACTAAATGTTAAATAAAAATTATTTTGATACAAAAATTATTTTAAAAGGTAGGATAGGTCAGTGTTTCCCAACCCTGTTCCTGGAGGCCCCCCAACAATTCATATTTTGGATGTCTCCCTTATCTAACATCAGGTTTTGAAGCGTCTTTCTATGTTCTGATGAGTTGATTCAGGTGCGTTTGATTAGGGAGAGGTTAAAAATGTGTATTGTTGGTGTGCCTTCAGGAACAGGGTTGGGAAACACTGGGCTAAGTTATTGTAAATTTATGTAGCAAACAAAACATATAAGGGCAGTTCATTATGCTGTGGCGACCCCAGATTAATAAAGGGATTAAGCCGAAAAGAAAATGAATGAATGAATAAAAACATGTAGGCCAGGGGTGTCCAAACTTAGTCCTGGAGGGCCGGTGTCCTGCTGAGTTTGTCTCCAACTTGCTTCAACACACCTGCCAGGAAGTTTCTAGTATATCTTGTAAGAGCTTGATTTGCTGGTTCAGGTGTGTTTGATTAGGGTTGGAGGTAAACTCTCCAGGACACCGGCCCTCCAAGGCCGAGTTTGGACACCCCTGATATAGGCTAATTCATTCTTTAATTTTCCTTCAGCTTAGTCTCTATTTCAGAGGTCGCCACAGCCAAATGAACCACCAACTATTCTGGCATATGTTTTACACAGTGCATGTCCTTCTAGCTGCAACCCAGTATTAGCAAACACCCATACACACCCACTCATTCACTGTGGACAATTTGATTTATCCAATTCACCTGTACCGCATGTCTTTTGATTGTAGGGGAAACCAGAGCACCCAGAGGAAATCCACACAAACACGGGTTGAACAAGCAAACTTCACACAGAAATGGCAACTGACTCAGATGGGACTCGAAGCAGTAACCTTCTTGCTGTGAGGTGATAGTGCTTACTATTGAGCCACTATGCCGCCATATACTGTAGGCTAATTTCAGGAATAAATGCTTATAAATATAATAAGGCTTATTATTTTTATTTACTTTATTTATTAATGTATTAGTAGAAAATATATTGAAACAAATTGTAAATTAAAAATATATTCTCAGGTTTATAATCAAATAATATGTCAATTTCTGTTCAACTGCTGGGCTTTTCAGGCAGTAACAATAAATGAAAAAGTTTTATAACATGCATCTTAATATTACTTAAAATATGTGATGCATAATAACTCAACAGAGCTGTATATGGAGTGCAATCTTTATATGTGGGGGTTGCTAGCAGTAATGCTACCTATCACGCAATTGAACCATCTAGAGTCACTACAAGAGATATCTGCAACAGCCCTAGTATAATGAACGACCTTTTGAAGTGAAACTTCACAGGTTGAATCGCACTTCTGATTCAAACACTTATTGCCTGATGGCTTACTGTGTTGGAACACAACCACTCAGCCACAGATCTGTTATATTAATACACTAATCAAACTAATATCAGCAAAAGCCTTACCAAACTCCTTTCGAAAGAAGTCATCTTTTTCCTCCTGAATAGCGATTCTGGGGATTGGAGTACATCCAGTGGTCATGCTGCGCTCCAGGATGCCTTCATCAAAGTCATCTGAGACATCAAACACAAGGTGAACATCTGATCTCAAACCAGCCAAAATATCAATCATAACAACGATGACAGAATTTACAAACAGTCTAAAGAGATCACTAACAATGCCAAAACAAAAGCAAGCAGTGTTTTGTCTGTCAAAAAGTGTCTCGTTCAAGTGTCCTCGCCAGTGACATTTAAACACAGACATGCCAATGTGACCATGAAGACACAACACAGTGCGCACCACACAAAATCAGCTCACTAATTGCTTGTAGTTTGCTGTTTTATTCAAGAAAATAAAGTCAAAACAGTACTGAAGCATATATAATCATGTGCATCCACCAATATGTTGTGGCATTATGGAACGATTCATACAGAAACACTGAAGGTCGACTTCTTGATCTCATGACAAGCTAAAACAAGCTGGCAGGTTAAAAATAACTTATTGAGGGTAAAGTGGTAAATGTCATACAAGATTTTAAAAATGACAATGTAATGGTACAGACAGAGTTTATTAAACTTTAAGAGGATATCTAAGTAATGACACGTCAATCTACTGGAGTTTTCTCTAACATCTCAGTTGTTTCTCCTGATTTTTAATGTAAAGCAAATTTTCATTTTTAAACTGTATTATACTGTGTGATCTAATGTAAACTGTTGAAACTTGTGCTTAGGTTGAAGAGTCTACAATCACATGTCAGACTGTCCTCTAATTAATTACAAGACTAAATACTTTGATCTAATAACTACTGTATTGCAGCAATTGTTTTTATTTTAATTAGGGACACATCTGTAGGGAGAAACATCTGAGAAAAGTTACTTAATCATTATGTTGCATTATGACTGGTAACAAATTGAGTTGTCAGAAATAAAATCATTGTAAAAATCATTGAAAATTAAGATTTAATTATTGAAAACACTGTTTTAAATCTTGTGACAATTTTTGAGTGCAAGGGTTTGACCAACACGGTCTCACAGTAATTCATAACTTTTTGATTCAGTGGTAATTCTTTTTGATTCATTTGTATGAATTTGTACAATCTTATTTGTATAATTTAGTACGATTTGCTCATCCCGCAATGATGGTTGGGTTTAGGGGTATGGTTGAGTGCCTTTTAAAATCGGACATTTTTTTACGACTGAACTGTACGAATTCGACAAAATGTAAAAAAGTTAAATTTTCTGGTGAGATCAGACTGGGCTTGGCACTAAGGTATTTGTGAAATGTGTGTAAGATTTATCACGTATACCTTTAATTGTGACAGTGTTTGTCTGTGTTGGTTTATGTGGTTTACGAGGACACAAAATTGTCTAACAACATGGGCATGAACTCGTTGTGCTCTATTAATGTGGTTTGCAAGGACACACCTTGTGTCCTCATAATTCAAAACATCATATTTAATGGTTTTTTTTTACATTCGAATTTTGCGTATTGAAAAGTAGTGTAACAAAGCACAAATCTCATGGCTCAGGCAATTTTACTGATCAGCCAAAAAGGGTAGGAGATTTATTACAAAAACGGCACTGCAAGAAACTTTTGGTTTTAACAAACAGAACTTAGACCTGTAATTTTATAAAAAAAAAGAAAGAAATAATCAGCTGAATAAAAATAAAATTGCAAAATATTCAGTACTGTGAAATAAGTTCACTGTTACTACTACTGTTGCTATTTTTTTAGTCTCATTTTCAATAAATGATTCAGTTATTCACTCATAAAACGTTTCATTTTTGACGAATTGTTCAGGGCATATTTTTGATACAGTAGCTGGTTGTTGCGACCTTTTGGTTAAATAATGTATTGCTGCCTTTAACTTTAATTTTTGAGCACACAACAGTAATTTTAATCTTCACCATAAACATCATTGGTTTTATCTAAACTATAAACTGTTATCCCAGTACTTCTGTGTTATTTGACTATGTAACTTAACTTAAAAGACTAAAGACTGAATCTCTTTCTTGATTTTTGTGTTTTTCAAACACAGATTTGAATGCAGCGATTTAAAGGATTAATAAACATATGCAGATCAAAATCATTTGTAATTTATGTTGCGCGGGTGCTAAGATCCTGATCTTTTTATTGAGTAATCGTGCAACTTAATGCATTAATGCAGGCTAAACAACACCTTTAAAGAAACCCACCACTTCCTGAATAACCTACCACAACTTCTTCCGTCATCATTATATTTTACAGGAAAGCCTAAATGCTTTCATACATGTGGTTTAAATGAGGTGAGAGGCGCTCTCTCGGGGATCGTTACAAATTTAGGATTAATCTACAAAAAATAGGTATAAATCCAAGGGTCACCTGTGTTCCGAACCATGGGCTGTGATCCGTATGAATCACGGATCAATCGTGATCCGTTACACCCCTAGTGTCAAAGGTTTCCTGTGAGAGTTGGTTTAGGGTTACGGGTTGGATGAGGCCATGTATTATGCCTATGGAGAGTCCTCGTAAACCATATATACAAGTGTGTGTGTGTGTGTGTGTGAATGTAGGTGAACTGTCACAAATCCAATGTTCGATTTACAAAAATCTAAAACATTCTGCCAGGATTTTCAGATGACATCAAGGTTAATATGAAACTTTCTGAAAACTCAATCTGAAAGAGTAGCATCTAAGCTACATGAATAAAGTTTTTCCTTTAAATGACACAAACATTATAAACTCAAACTAAAACAAAAAAACACTGAGATGCAAATTTTAGAGTCAAAAAATACATGTAATACAATACATGAAGACCTCACATGACACAATGAAGAAACCACAATGACTCAGGCAAAGTGACACGATTCAAATCCACCCATTTCTGAAAGCGTAATCCATTGTGTTACTCTATAGATAAACTCTAAATGTTAGGTCTTATAGTACAGACAAGGTATTTAGTCCTCATGGGCGCCATTTGTCCTCGTGTTGCTGTTTAAAAACACCACAAGGTCGGCTTCACAACGGTCAATCACGAAACCACAGTCACACAAGTCCGGCGGACGCAAGCCCAAGGGCCCGGAGACCACAGTCACATGCGGCGCAGCGTGGCAAACACTCACAGATCAACAGGACAGAAGGAAGCGCAGGCGGGCCGCCGGTAATCCGTCAGAAAGAGCATAAGAGGAGAGGAAGGGGACATGAGGGGAGTAACATTGATGAGTTTCAAGCAGGTCTCCATAACCAAAAGAATCAGTTTGTCCTCCAAATGTCCACAGCATAGTCTCAAAATAACACATACTGAATGTTTCCTGTGCAAAATGCAAAGTCAATGGACAACAAGTAGAGAACACATATACTGAAAAGATGGCGATATGGATCAATTGGTTGTCCTGAGAAGGAAATGAATTGTGACACTGAGACGGCTGTGGTTTAGTTAGCGAGTAAAGAAAGGTTACTCGAGATGGGACATACGGAAGGGGAGATGGACAAACAGCTTTAGCACCTGAATGTCTTGAAAAGAGCTTCTGTCATCATCAGGACACCCTGAGCCTGCTCCAGAGTGAGTCGATTTTCATTTCATATTGAATGAAATTTACATTATTTACTCAGTTATGTCGTTTCAAAAAGACTAAATGTGGACTTTCCTGTGGATAGCAACAGGAGATGGATTAATCATGTTTAAAAGGTAATTCACATTGAATGGGTAGATGCTGACCAGTGTTGGGTGTAATTAGTAAACAGTGACTGTAATCAAATTACTTTTTTGCAGGAAAAGTAAAGTAAGGGATTGCTTATTTTATTTTGATTTAATTTAATTACTGTTACTTTTAATGTACTTGCTTTAAACATTAATTTTATTTTGCAGAATAATTAAAATTTTTCAATTAGTGTAAGTTTTATTTAAATTAAAAAGTAATAAAAGTAATCTAAATAGAATTTTAATTACATAATTAGTAATTAATTTCTTTTTTGGAGTAACTCACACAACACTGATGCCCACCAATAACAAGGAAATGTATTTTTGGGCTGCTACTTGCTACTTCAGGGGTGATCAGTTAGCATTTGGTATGGCTTATGCTGAGTTTAGACTGCATGATTTTCAAAGTAATCGCGTCACAGATATTTTCACACTGCATGACTATCTGGAGTAGTGTTTTGTTGCTGCTTTGTTTACACTGCAAGATGGATTGGCGACAAAAGTTTTACACTGCATAACTTTAAAAAAGGGAGAATCGCCAACAACTTTGTCCAAACTATGGGCCCTATCATACCAATGCCAATGTGGCGCAAGGCGCGGCGCAATAGTCTTTTGCTAGTTTCAGCTTGGTACAGGAGTCGTTTTGAGGCGTTGCGCTACGCTGTTTAAATAGCAAATGCATTAGCGCTCATATGTGCGCCCATAGACGTTCTGGTCTAAAAAGGAAAGCGTTCTGAGGCGCACTGCTGGCGCGTTGCAATTTTAAGAAACTAAAATAGATTTTTCATTAGACCAAAACAAACCCGGTCTAAACTCCAGCGCAGAGATGGCCTTGTTTACACACTGCTTAATACGCACAAGAGAGCAATAGGCAAATATCTTTACATATGAAAAAAATTTAATATTAAGGATATATATAGGATATAATAAGAATAGATATAGTATATAAATATAAAGGATTAAAATATTACAAAACATTATTTTCTAGCCTACATAAATATGAAAAATCACTGCTTTTATGTCTTCTTCACACAGCATGTCTTTTAGGATATAACTCAGGTTTTTGAGCACACTTCGTTATTATTGTTCATTTATTCGTTTGTTGGAAATTAGAACTGAATTTAGAAATAGTTTTGAAACAAATATTTGCGCTTAACAAACGCAATTAATTATTTATAGACTAATTGATGTCTGTGCATAAAGGTTTCCCTATCCAAGAGCGAAAGTGAAAGTAGATCCATTATCTCTCATTCTCACGCAGTAGATGCTCTGTTTAACAGTTTTCTGTTAAAAAAACCTGTTAACTGTTAACTGTTTGCTTGTGAAATGCTCAGTTTTTCCACTTAGACTTACTTTACGTCCTGTAAATAGCGAATGCGCTTATGGCGCGACGCA